TAGTAACTTATTAGTGGAAGCTGTTCTAGAAATTTATGAAATGTTGAATCTTACCTATAATGAGAACGGCAAGCAAGAAAAACTTAATCATGGCTGAAGTCCACAAAGTTCTCTGGAGAAAAGATAAGGATGAGGTCTTGTTTATCATGATAACACCTTGACCTCTCGAATTACCTCACAAACTTGATGTGAAACTTACAGGATGTTTGCGAAGGAGTGATTCAAGATATATTATTATTATTATTTATTTTTAATGACCCCAAATTGGACAACTCTTAAGAGGTTATCCCCGTGATCAGTCAGTTGTTTGTGATCAATACAAAAAAAGTAACTTTTCAATCGTCAACTTCCCTTATTTATGCAGAAATATACCTTCATTATAGATCTGCATAATGGGGTTTATATCTCTTCTCTAGAGCATGCTCTACGTATGAACAATTTTTAAACGAGGTCATTTATTGATAAACATGTTGCTAAACAAGAATACCAATGGTCTCGTTTTAAGTCGTCAATTTTAAGTTCTTTGGTCGATACAATCGTCAATGACCTTGTCAGCAAATATAATATATCACTAAGTCAAGTACTGAGAAATATTTTTCATACTAAATTTTAAAGTTTCATATATAAACTAAATGGTCGACGGATTTTCCCGTTATTTCCCGATCATGACAAGGAGCACATGGCGGGTGTGACCGGTCGGCAGGGAATGTTCATTCCTCCACACCACCTGATCCCATTTCTGATATTTTGGAGGTCCATGTTTGCTCTGCTCCTATTTTGTATTGTTTAATAGACTTTTGAGATCGAATACTGTTCATTATCTCTATATTTTTCATCCATAATGTAATTCGTCTGAGTTTGATATTTATTTATATTTTACAAATGATAAAAAATATATAGAGATCATTGTCAAAAGACCATTTATGCAATACTTAAAAGAGGCCAACACGGACCTCTGATAACAAAGGTGAGATCGGGCCAGGGGGCCATAAAAATCAGATGAGCTCACTTTTGTTCTCAGTCTCAATTTCACCAAAGGAGTTAATATATAGTGAAAAAGTGAGACGGAGATCAAAATTGAGCTCGTCTACGTTTTATGGCCCCCAGGCCTGGTACCACGAGGGAGTAATTACCCAGTCAATCGATCAACTACCATGTGCTCCATGTCAAAACAGGAACAAAGCAAACACGGATCTCCAAAACATCAGAGGTGGGATCAGGTGCCATGGAGGAGTGAGCATCCTCTGCCGACAGGTCACACCCGTTGTGTGCTCCTTGTTATTTTGGGAAATAACGGAAAAAAATTGTCGTCAATTCAATGTTTAAATAATGGACTAACAATAAGTATGAAAAACGTCAGTCAGCATTTGACTCAATGACAAAATGTATTTGCTGACAAGGTCACCGTATCGCTACAGAACTTACGAAATGACGAATTTAAACGAGACTGCCTGCTATTCTTGTTTCATCGATTTGTTTGTCAATGATTTCCCTCGTTTTCTCGTTTTCAGAAATTGTTTATATGTAGACCCTGCTCTTGCGTATCGAATCAACTGAGATATATAAACGCTGTATGCAGGTGATGAAGGTATATTGCTGCATAAGTAAGGGAAGTTGACGATAGAAAAGTTAAAGTCATCACGTTTATCATAGAGCATGGTTGTTAGATTACCATTGATATCTTTTTCAAGTAAAATATCCAAGTATGAAACAGATATGTAAGATTCTGTGGTATCGTTTATCTCAAGCTCACTAGGATATATCGTATCGACATAGGAAAGCAAATTACTATTGTTAATTGACAATACGTCGTCGATACATCTAAATGTCGAGTTGTAGACCACAGCAAGTGTTTTCTTCCTTTCACGCCTAAGATTTTGCACAAATTCTGCTTCGTATAAATACAAAAATAGGTTTGCTAAAAACTGACAGGATGGAGCTCAGTTTGTTGCAGAACCTCGTCAAAAACTTCTACATGGGAAAAAAAAACTCGCAGCGGCCTTCAACGTTGATATATATCAAAGGCGTTTGATATTTAACAATAGTTATTTTCATTTCTGTATCGACTCAATATATCTCAGTGAACTAGCTTGAAATAGTCTACCACATAGAAGCCTGTTTCGTACGTTTTACTAACTTAAGACGGCAAGGGTCAACTAACAACTAAATTGTATGACCAACGAGGTGACTTTAGCTTTTTCATAATCAACGTTCCTTATTTATCTAGCATTAATCCATTTTCACCTGCATATGGTGTTAACGTCTCCTAACTTAATCGCTAACCAAGTGCTTGCTTTGATTAAGATCCATTTATTAAACCGAAGCAGGTTACTGAAGATAAGTTGATGTTACTGGGGTTTCAACAATTCGTTTAAAGTCAGCGTTTCGTAAATTTTTTGGTCGTTATAATGACCTTATTAGCAAATATAACCTATCATTGGGTCGTACTTTTGATATCTTGTTTCTTATTAAATGTTATATATATAGGCCTTTTTGTACTAAATTTGACCACACAATTTTCTGATTACCAGACAATAAGTACTTGATTCATACATAGAGCTTTCGGCGTATGTGACCGGACTACAGGTGATGCCTACTATTTCAAGGCACCTGGTCTCACCTCTGAAATTTCTGGGGGTCCATGTTTTATGCATTGTTCACTGAATTAATTGCTGTTTGTTATTCATCTTTTTCATTTGTCAGAATACAATATAACAAACATAAGACGAATTGGAATTTTACTAATGAATGAAAGAGTATTATACTAAAAAAAGTGCACTTAGTCTATACCATGCACCGTGACTGTTTGATATTTCAATAATGCAACAATCCTAAATAGATACTGTTATGGGTCAGAATTACCCGAAATGCCAGCAAAGATCAATAACACAATTTAAACTTAACAATAATTTATTTACAGTAATATATAATAAGTATATGAAACATAAAGTACAAACTTAGCAAGAATCTAAAAATACATACATCAGAGTGTCCGTTGCTGCACACAATGTCCCAGTGAAAATATATCCCAATTATATCTCAATAGTGCTTATACGACAAAGTATATCTATGCATCGAATTGACAGGGTATTTATACAGTAATATAAATCTAGAATATTCTAGAAATTGTTAAAACATGATATTACTGGAACAATCTGGATATACACAAAATTTAAGAATGTTCTAGATAAAATGACCAAACATGTTGACCACTCTGGAATGTTCAAGAAACTTAATGTTACTAATTATATACATAATGAAACAATACACATCTCACAACAATACAATGTAAAGAATCATTAACATGTTATTATGACTAAAATGAACTAGACGTTATAAGACTAATACCCCATTCATACGACGAAAATTTGCTTATGTGAGCAAATTAACACATGAGTAAATTTACACACATAAGTAAAAGTTAATTTGCTATGCGTTCAGACAAGATTTAAGTACCCTAAGTAAATCCTCAAATTGTCATTTAAAATAAAGAAATGGACCGCTTCAGACGTGTGAATTTTCACAGGAAAAGAGTATTTCCCTACTATTTGGGCATAGGACTAGCTCTTGGATGTTCCCGAATAAAGGAAAGCAGAAGGAAAGTCCGATCTACAGAGTGGTATGACAGAACCGTACTTAATGACTTTAGGGACGAAGATTGGTACGAGAATTTTCGAATGAAGAGGGAAATTTTTTTTAAATTTGTGCAAAGTTGGAAAATGCTTTGGCCCCGGCCCCAAAGACCGTAGAGGAGCCTTTGGATGTAACAAAAAAGGTAGCTATTGCCATCTACTGGTTAGCCTCATCCGCGGAATATCGGACAATTGCCAATCTTTTTGGTGTCGCAAAATCTACCGTGTATGAGTGCGTTCATCAAGTTTGTGAAGCCATTATGGAACAATTGCTTGAAGAATATGTGTGTTTTCCAGAGGGAGACAGGTTGAAGAAAGTAATCAAGGGCTATGAGGAAAAGTGGGGATTCCCAAATTGTGGTGGGGCTATTGATGGCACACACATTCCTATTATAGCTCCGAAACATTCTCATGGAGATTATTTGAACAGGAAAGGGTTCTACTCATTGATTCTCCAAGGTGTTTGCGACCATAGCTATGTCTTTACAGATATAAATATAGGTTGGCCAGGAAGGGTTCACGATGCCCGTGTTTTCGCAAATTCAGAGATTTATCTCAAAGGAGATAACGACTCCTTGTTTCCGGAATGGAGAAAGCCAGTTGGAGAAAATACTATGCCAGTCGTTCTTCTCGGCGACCCAGCATATCCTTTGAAGACTTGGCTTTTAAAGCCATATACCAACAGATCTACCCTCACCAACACCCAATTCAATTTCAACCATCGTTTGAGTAGAGCCAGAATGACCATTGAAAATTCGTTTGGCCGTTTGAAAGGAAGATGGCGTTGTCTACAGAAGAGACTTGACGTTGAAGTCGAATTCGCTTGCACCGTAATTGGAGCTTGTGTTGTATTATATAACTTTTGCGAATTTGAGAAAGAAGATTACATTTGGGATACATATTCGGACGACACTGACGATGAAGACGACGATACGCAGGATGGTGACGTAGAGGTCATTCGCTGTGCCAAAGCCTTGCGAGATGACATTGCTGCAGCTTTTGCCAATAATAACCTTTGACTGATGAAATGATGATTTACAATCATGTGACACTTTAGACACTTGTATTATGTTGTTTCACGTCTGTTGACAATTAATGTGTTTCACTTCTGATATTGATATGTAAACACAAAATGTTCTGTTTTAATAACGTTGATATGCAATGATTTGATAACTTCAATCAGAAAATTGAAATTAAAATGTATACGCACACAATACAAATGCATCTGTTTATTAATAAACAGCATGAATGAATGCAAAAAAAAAAATAACTACAACAAATGAATCATTTCTTGTAAAGATAAACTCCTTTTTTAAGGAGAAAAAATAATCAAAGCATTTACAATTCCTATACTTTAGAAAATGCATACAAATTTCAAGATTATTAATAGTTCCTATTAGAGGACATTTTCTTAAGATACTTTAAAACACTTAAAAGAGCACATGTTCCTTAACAACGAACAAAAAACAGAATTAGAAAGTAACGATTATGATCACATTCCTTGTGGTCTCCCCTCAATCTTGTAGCAGGTATCAAACCAAATGAACGTCACAAGTTATAGTAAGTAGGATCATCACAGTTATCTTCCCCAGGAGATTGGCGCTTATATTGTGGATATAGGTTTGCACCGGAAAACTGTTGACCTTGCATATTTGGTGAGGATATTTGCGATGTTCCTTGACCTCCTAATATTTGACTTCCAGTGGCAAACGATGGAGGGTTAGGTGGATAGGACTGTCTCTGGTTAAACGCTCCCATGATCATTTGCATCATGTTATACTGATGCTGTCTTTCCTCCCGCTTTTGTCTTTCCTCTGAATCCAATCTTGCTTTTTCCATATCCATTTTCTGTTTCTCCAAATCTAATTTTCGGCGCTCTAGATCAAGAAATTTGTCCTCGGCTTTTTCATTTGAGCTATTAAAGCCATCCATTACCGATGTTAAGGCCAATTCAAGTTTACTTTTACGCGCCTTTTTCCTTTCATTTTTGCCAGTTGCTTCCCTTTTTTCCTTTGTTTTACCCGAGGCCTCCTTTGCAGATCCACAGCCTTTTTCCTTCTCTTTTGATTGCGGATCGTCCACTTTATTATCTGTATCGGTAGCATCTTTTACTTCTTTGTTATCCTTTGAGTTTGTGGCCGGGCAACTTTTATCATCATCATTATCATCTCCAGACTCATCTAGTTTTTCAAGAGGACGGACACCTGCATCTATAGACTCGGATTCACTGGAATTGCTTTCATCTTCATTTTCATAACAACGCTTTTTACTCAATGTTTCAATCACTTTTACCGGCGAGGAAGCCGGCCGATTTCCAAGAATCGAATCTAGCTCGTTGAAATAATTACATGTTCTTCTTCCTTTTCCACTTTGTTTAAGTTTGGTTTTTGTCTCTCTGTACATTCTCTTAAAAGTGTGAATTCTCACCTTGCATTGTTCATGCGTTCCTTCAAAGCCTTTGTTCATCAACTCATCAGACACGGACTTGTATATAGACCCATTGTTGACTTTCGGGTTCTCCATTTGCTCCTCTATGGCTTGTTCCTCCCAAACAGATAACAAAGCCCATGTCTCTTCTTCTGTCCATGCAAATCCACGTTTTTTACACCTTTGCTTTCTAGCTGCCATGTTTACTAACTGTTATTTTTCCCGCCAAACTGTAACAACGCTAAAAATAAAGAGTGATGCAATACGCAAGACGAAATACTCACGTGAGTTAATTTGCTGCGCGTTCATACGACAAAATCTACATACGGGAGCAAATAATTTGCGACAACATATATGCAAAAGTTAATTTACACCTAGTCCTGACTAGGTGTAAATTTACTTAACTGTGCAGAATTTGCATATGAGCAAATCAGTTCATACGACCAAAATTGCACATGTAAGTAAATTTACACACGTGTAAAAAATACTTAGGTATGCAAATAGTGTCGTATGAATGGGGCTTAAGAGCAGATAATTTACAACAAATAAAACATCAAAGACGAGACATCTTTCGCCAATTTTTAAAGAAAATATGGTACCTATTGATCATGTATATATTTTCTTCAACACGTTAAAAGGATTTCAATGATTTGTGAGGAAAATTGAGCAATTAGGAATTGAAAAATCTATTAAATTCTTAGATGAAACTGACGGAATCTTTTTTCCACATTTTTCTACAATACTGTCAAACGAGGAGTGATAACTCGACACAGTTTATAGCAATATGTTGAATGTATTGGTTTTATATGTCTATAATGCACTCTAGATATATTTTGGTCAAAACTATTATTTTACTGGTAATTTTACCGTTTGAAATTAAAAAAGATTAATAATATTTGTACTCTTCTTTCTGTTTAGGTGTCTAATTCTGTATATTTGTTATTCAAATATCAGAGTACTAGTGCGTTTTAGCTTACTGAGAGGGTTTGTTACATTATTTTTTAAAGAATTAAGAAATACTATTGTGATTGCATTCATAGATATTAAAAACTACATCCATTTAATTCTGGGAATAAACACATTTTTTCATTGGTAAAATTTTGCAACACAATTCTTAAAAAAGGTTTAGATGAAATATATAGAGATAATGAACAGTATTTCAGCTCAAAAGTCCATTAAACAATAATGAATAGGAGCAGAGCAAACGCGGACCTCCAAAACATCAGAGGTGGGATCAGGTACCATGGAAGAGTGATCATCCCCTGCTGACCTTGTCATGATCGGGAAAATGAAAAATCTGTCGTCAATTCAGGGTGTAAGTAGTGGGCTAAGAATTAGTATGTAAAACGTCAATCAGCATTTGACCCAATGATAAATTGTATTTACTGACAAGGACAAGATCATTGTATCGACCATAGCCCTAACGAAATGTTGACTTTAAACGAGACTGCTGATATTCTTGTTTCATCAACTTGATTTGTCAATAATTTAGCTCGTTTTAGAAATTGTACGTACAGGTATGCAGAGCAAGCTCTTGCATATTGAATCAATTGAATAAACTCCGTATACAGGTGATGAACGTACATCTTTTTGATGTACACTTCAGAGTTCTTGTGTGTACAATCGGAATGTTTTTTTAACAAAATAACATGGCATATGACCAATGACAAGGTTCAGTTAATTTTCGAGTTCCATTTTTATTGAAAAAGCAGTTGTCCATGATATTACAAAGCCTGGACATTAATTTATTGTGGGGAATTAAAGCAAATTCATTCCTTTCTGATTTGAAACATTATATAATGGAATTATTCTTTCTCAGAATTAAACTTGTTTACATCTCTCTCATGCAGTTCCTCCACAAATTCTAAACGAAAATGAAGATGGAACAAGGAAAGAGATTTTATCAAAGGAAGGGGAAACAGTCAACGTAATCTGTAACGTCTCGGGAATTCCCGCGCCGAGCGTGAAGTGGTACAGGCGCCCTCTGGAGGAAACAGTGGGAAGTAAAAAAGAAAGTAAGCAATAAAAATCTACTATCTGAGTGATATAAATAATTTATATAGAAATGCTTATGACTGTATAAAATTTATTGCATTATGAAAACAGGCATGGCTAGTTTGATTTTTTCTTTTCTGCGTAAATCCTATGGAGGCAGGTGAGGGAAGTCATTTTAATACTTTATACAACTCACTTTTACCCTGTCAAATGTACTGTTTATTGACAGGTTTAATTACATCAGAGCTAGAACGGCGGGAAAGCGGGGAAAGAGAGCCATGCATTTACACAGCCGACAAACCAGGTAGACCCCGACCCCTGTACCGATGTTAGTCACTGACAAACTAGTGGAAGCTTTGTGTAAATGCATGGCCTCTTTACTAACCAGTTATAAACCACTGCATGCTACTAACTTATCTACTATTCTAATCTAACAGGTCATGTTGTCCACTACTACTAATGAACTCAAATTCGGACAGGGCCTTTCTCTATATAATATTCTGCATAATCAGCCCTGGGATATGATCACATGTATAAAACAACAGAATTAAATGTTCTTGATCAGCAAAACGCAACAAAATTTTTTTTTTCTTTATTAAAAACAACGTGTAAGCATTTATCAGTCATTCAAGGGTTCGATACATTCTTATCTAGGCATCACTGACCAAAGTAATGTCAACTGTTGTGATTTCTAAACTGTTCATTCTATAAATATATCGATCCATTTTACTCTCACAAAGACTCTTACATTTTTGTCCCCCGCTTTTGCGAAAGCGAGGGGACATTAAACCTCATTCGTCTGTCCGTCTGTTCGTCTGTCTGTCCGTCGGTCCGTCAGTCTGTCCGTCCGTCACAAAAACTTTAACCTTGCCCATAACTTTTGATTTAGTGGAGCTATAATTTTCATATTTCATATGTGTATTCCTTGTGATAAGACCTTTCTTTGGGTACCACCAAATTTGACCTTTTGACTTTGACCTTGGAGTTTCAACTACTTTTACTAAACAATTCCAAACTTTTACTTTGGCCATAACTTTTGAATGGTAGGTACAAGGACTTTCATATTTCACATATTTATTCTTTGTGACAAGACCTTTCAATGAATACCAACAACTTTGACCTTTTGACCTTGACCTTGGAAATTTACGTACTTATGAAAAAACTATATTCTTGACCATAATTTTTGAACGGTAAGGGCTACGGCTTTTATACTTCACATATTTTATTCTTGTAAGAAGACCTTTCATTGGATACCAAGAACTTTGAACTTTTGACCTTGACCTTGGAGTTTTAACTACTTTTTAAAAATTATAACCTTGGTCAAAACTTTTGAACGGTAGATACAAGGACTTTTATATTTCACACATGTATTCTTTGAGGCAACACCTTTCATTGGATACCAACAACTTTGACCTAAGGACCTTGACCTTGGAGATTTACGTACTTCTGAAAAAACTTTAACCTTGACCATAACTTTTAAACGGTAAGGGCTAGGGCTTTCGTACTTCACGTATGTAATCCTTGTGAGAAGACCTTTCATTGCATGCCAAGAACTTTGACCCTTTGACCTTGACCTTGGAGTTTTAACTACTTTTTAAAAACGTTAACCTTGGTCACAACTTTTGAACGGTAGAAACTAGGACTTTCATATTTTAAATATATGTATTCTTTATGGCAAGACCTTTCATGGGATACCAAAAACTTTGACCTATTGACATTGACCCTAAAAATGATATCTTGCCCACAAAGATACCGAAAGCGGGGGACCACAATTCTTTGAATTTTTATAAGGTCAATCTTAATTATAATTAAGTCATTAATTGGTATCAGTGTTAACATAAAATCTTTTTAATACCTAGAAGGAGTTACATGTTCCGCTAGTTTTAATTTGGAAATATATTATCATATTTATTATATTATTACAGAGTCGCATTGATTATTTTATCAATTGATAGTTTAATTGAAAATACACATTTTATCTAAAACGTTCGATGTTGTTTATCCCATTTTTCCTGATCAATGAGAGGAGTGAAAATGACCTCGTTAAAAGAAGAAAGTGTTATAATCAGAGCTCGATATAACCAAGTTTCACTATATTCACTTCTTTGCTGTTTATTTTTTTCTCTTAGAAATCAGATATATATCTAAACTGATTTTCTTAATTTTATTTATGTATTTGCTTTAAATATATTTGTTTATTTTTATTGATTGATTGATTGCAGGGATCGGGATGGAGGGTGAAATCCTCGTGATACATAACGTCAGTCGGTACTGTGACGGAATCTACCAGTGCGTGGCCTCCAATGATGTACCCCCGGCTGTAGAAATGGAGACAGCAGTGTTTGTAGAATGTACGTCCTTTAAAATTTGGATTGAGATTGTCTAGGATATTTATTCTTTAAAAAAATATCTGAGGCCCGTTTTACAAAAGAACTTAAGACTAAGACAAAAAACTTAAGTTGATTGTAAAATTCTGCAAAATTGATCTTTTTGTTTAAAATTGCTAGTGTAAAAATATCTTTCTATATTCCTTTTAAAAATTTTAAAACCAGTTTCACATTAATATAAAATTTAAAGTTATCAGCGGAATAAAATTTTGGTATAAATCGTAAGTTAGTGGCCAATTCTCTTTTCATGCATAATTTCTTTGGTTGGAATCCTCAAGTACATTGGTAGAATTCTTCTGATTAAAAATCCTAGAGTGTTTAACAGTAAATTTAGCTGCAGATCTGTAGCTCTCCGAAAAAAAAAATATTGATAGACCGGAGAGCTACAGTGCCACCCATTGAAAAAACTGTATATTTATTCCGCGCAAAAAAGTGCGCTCGGTTGTTGATCAATTCTTCCATATTCTTACCTAAATTGCATAAACTGGAAGATTTCAAAAAAATCCTCTTTCCTCTATCAAGTACTTTTGTAGTTGACATCTGAACGAAGCATATTGGACCAAATTATCCTTGAAACCAAAATGGCAGTATAAATAAGCGAAATGTTCGATGATTACAATATCAGGTCCAAGGGGACTATTAACAACAATTATGAGGAATGTTTTATTGTGGAAAGAGTCAAAGAATATGTTAGGAACACACGGTTAGTTATATTTTGAGATTACAGTTTAAAAACATAGAGAAATAAACCGAGAACCGAGCGCACTGTTTTGTGCGCAATAAATATACAGTTTTTTCAATGGGTGGCACTGTAGCTCTCCGGTCTATCAATATTTTTTTTTTCGGAGAGCTACA